TAGAACGAGAAACCCAGGATAGAAAGAGAACCCAAGGATACAACGAGAAACATAAGATAGAAAGAGAACCACAGGATAGAAAGAGAACCACAGGATAGAAAGAGAACCCAAGGATACAACGAGGAACATAAGATAGAAAGAGAACCAAAGGATAGAAAGAGAACCACAGGATAGAAAGAGAACCACATGATAGAACGAGAAACCCAGGATAGAAAGAGAACCCAAGGATACAACGAGAAACATAAGATAGAAAGAGAAACCCAGAATATGACTAGAAACCTAGAATATAACGAGAAACCCATAATATGACAAGAAACCTATAGAATATAACGAGAAACCTGAAATATAACAAGAAACCGTGACAAATTGTATTGGAATGTGGCGCCAGCTTGGCCGGTCAGACTCCTACAGGAGACTCTTAATTATGTGTTTTATTTGAGGAACAGTGACGGGGGTAATTTATAAAATATTTCTGAACATTTAAATAAATATAATTTTGGAGGAAACAGGATATAAGACAAACCTTACAGATATTCAGACCACACAAACTTTACAAATTCCGGATCAAAAATAACTGAAAAATGTGTTCTTGAGGCATACTTTTTATTCATGTATTCCTCTGATCCATTCCTTCCACCTATCCATGCATCTATACATTCTTCCATCCATCATTCCTTCCACCTATCCATCCATCCATCTTGCCATCCTGATTTACATTTTTACCGATATTTGACCCCCGGCAGCTTGAATTTATTAAATACAGACCTTATAAAAATTCTTTCTGTAGATATATTCATAGTTTAAATATAAAATAAAAAATATATAAAGTTGATTGATGGGGGGTGGGAGAAATATGAACAATGAAACTACATTATTACACTGTTTTATCATGAAGAAAATTGAAGTTTTATTATTCTAGTTTATTGTACAATAAAGAGTAAAAACCTGAGTGTTCCTTGGTCCTTGATCCCAACACGATAATACAAAAATATTAAATTTAAATAAAACTTGAAATTTAGAATCCTGCAACAGAACAATATTTCTCCATGGACTCTAAATCTCTATTCTAAATGTTTAACTAAAATCCACTTAAATTCTTCCTTAGGATTCAATTCAAATGGATCCAGATGGCTTTTTGTACAATTCAATTTTCTTAATCTAAAGCTGTTTTCTCCTGCTTTCATCTACCTTACAATTCAGTTTGCTTTTTAGTTTTTCTTCCTTTTCTTCAATTTTTTCAGGATTATGTTTTTTTTACTTTGTAAGTTATATTGGTCTTGAACCATCTATTTCTTTTCTGAAAGGAATTTAGTCTTGCCATAAACTCTGATTTTCTCATCCCTATATCTTTGCAACCTGATGCTGTAAACCTTTGACATTTTATACAATAATTATTTGTTATAACAGAATGCATAGTTTAACATATTTAAGGTCTACGGCATTGAATCAATTAAATCATTTATTTGGCTACAATTTTTTTTAAATTCACATTAAAATGAAGCAGAAACATATCCCAGTCTGTTTTCAAATAAGCTCATCTCGGTTCAGCATAATAATAATGAGATCTTAGCAAAGAACAGAGTTTGTCTCAAAGGCTCAAAATCTTTCTATCATTCTCTATCTTTTAATTATTTAATTCTATTTGTTTCTAATTATTTCTATTTCTATTTGTATGTAGATTGTACAATGTTTTTAATGTATTTAATGATCCATAATTTTGTCCACATTTTTCCTTTTATAAATTTTCCCTTTTCCCATTTTCAATTCCTCTCTGTTGGACATATTTTTGATGCGTAAATTTTCTAATCTCTTTTCTCTTATCTGTTACGCATATTTTCATCTTTATTAGTTAATCCTAGTTTTCTTTCCTTATCCATTTAAATCCATGATTTATGTAACCTTCCTATTTCACCTTTTCACCCTGTAGCTTTAAAAATAAAATCTTCGTCTTTTTTTATGGATACCATCATTTTGTCAAAGTTCTTTGCTCCCCTCCTATCCTTCATAAACATCCTAAAAAGCTCTATAATAATATTTATCTCTCCAGATATATATATATAAATATATATTATCCGATCCGGGTTAATTGACTGGGACATGTCACCCCATCATTTATAATTCATTAAACAGCTCTAAAAGGGGAACACTCCCATCATACAATTTTACACCTTAGACCTGACTAGACACACTTTCTAGACTAATGATTCTACAAATATGCTAGATTTTTCAACAGTTAATAGTTTAGTTTATTTATCAAGGTATCGTGGGGGTCCGTTTTTAAGCAAGGTTTGACACATAATCTAATATAATGGGGGTTGCTAGGCTACATTAATACAATTACATTTGTGTTTTTCACTTGTACAATAGAAGTAATAACATTTAGTTGCGCATTTTCCGAGTTCAGGCCTCAATCTTTGATTCTTCAGATGGGACAATATTTAGGCCCTTTTTTAAATACATGTATATAACTTATAACTAAATATGCCCTTTCAAGGAGTTTTTAACATAAGTCATATGATATGGAGCCCGTATCCGATTTTTCTTCAAGTCGTGGATGCTGATATGATAATTCTTGAGTATAAACTATTGAGTCGTTTAATAGATTTGATAAATTTATATTTATCCCTCATTTTCTTATCTTCGATGGGAGATTTTTGACAATTTTATTACAGAGCTAATTCCTCAGATGAAAGATTTAGGATATTTGTTTAATTTAAAGTATCACAGCCGACATTGTCTTAACAACTATACACTGATAAGATATGTTTACAAGAAGTAGGTAGCTCCCCCATTCTTTCCGTAAATCTTAGCTCCGGGGTTTATTACATCTGTAGCAGCGTAGTGGTTTACAGGAGCCATGTATCCAGGTCTCATCGAACCATGGAGACGAGGTGGGGCTCCAGGGGGAGGAGAAGGAAAGAAACTCTCCCAGTTGACGTTAGGATGAGGTTTGGTTTGCGAGTATATCTGCTGCCTGCAGTTACTAGTAAGAAGAGGACTACTGTACTCTGCAGAGGAGTCCGTGTACAGTTCCTCGCTAGTTGTTGGAGTAGGAGGCAACTTTCGGCCTATTGTCAGCTTCCGGTCAGGCCACTGGGACTCAGTCTGGTCAAACTTAGGGATCTGGGTTGTGTAATATTGAGAATTATCAGAGTATGTATGGTTCTTGTAGTTCTTGTAAAGGATGAACACGATAATAGAGATTAGAATAAAAATAACGGTTACAAGGATTCCAACAGCAATCCCCATATACTCCGTCTCCCACCAGGGCTCAAGAACAACTATCTTATGATCAGGAATCTCAGGATGAAGATCAACCTCTACCATGTGCTCCCGGTTCTTCTTGACCACGTTCTCTGTCTTCTTCACTTCGGGTTCGGTGACGATCTCGTAGAACTCCGTCTCATCGTTTCTCTCCTCCAGGGGAGGATAAGGGATGGAGGTTGTGGGTCGTACTATCCCTGAAAAATTAAATCATTATAATTCTTGTTGTCTAGGTTTTGTAGATATTGGTTTAGGTTAAGGAATGATAAATATAAGATAAGATCAACGTTACTTTGAAGTTGAACCCTCATTATGAAGATAAATGTACTTCTAAGAAAGGAGAAATATAGAAAATCTATTATATTATGTGGAAGAACCCTTTCAGCCTGGTTTAATAAATAAAAAGACGGAGAATGATATTGAAGACGGGAGCAGAAGGGGTAGATTATAATTCTTTTATCCGTCTTGATGCGTTAAAAGGAACTCAAGGAAGCAGAACTAAACCTAAAATGTTTACCTGGTTTTAGGGATTTGCAGCCTTTCAGCTCAACTCTCATACACACGGTTCGGGGATGATAACTGAATGGAATAATCCGAACCCTGGATGCAACTAGAGCAGGTTCAAACCTTGTCTCAACTTCTGTATAGGTGTCTCGGTTCCCAGTAAACAGTTCAACTCCAGAGCTATCCTTATAATCGGAGAAATCTTCCATTCCAGGTTTCCAGAATTGAACCAAGAAAAATTCCGCAAACTCCTGCCCGAGCCCGTTTGCAAACCTACCCTGAGTAACAACTCCGGTAACGGAGTGCTCTTCTCCTAGATCTATCTCAAGAAACTCATCTACTCCGGACGTCTCCGAGATAAAGGACTTGGGACACCATGCCCCTCCTCCGTTGTTATTATTTAACCTGGCCTGGAGGGGGCCCACGGAATTTATCTCATACGAAGAACTTGCACTTAGTTGAGCATTGGTTATTCGTCCGTTCTCCATACCGAGGGGTTCGTCACATTTGTCTTTTCTCACTATACCTCCCTCCGCTAAAGCTGCTATGAGCAGCACAGTTAGCACGAACATGCTTGTGCGTTGGAAGCTAGAACTTGACTGAAGTCTAGCCGAGTGTGGTTCTCCGGCCTAAGCTCAGAAAGCCGATTCCACTCTCTCCCCCCGGGCCCTGGACGGACCGGTACATCTAGGATTCGTGTCGGTACGAGTAGATCTCAGGAAAGATTTAATATTTGGAAAAGATTGTATCTTATATTTCATATTAATTAGTGCAGAACAATGTTAGAAATAAAATATTTGAAAAATTGCAATTGTGGTGAAAATAAAAAAATTTTGTGATTCATATATACATGTCACAGAAATTTTTGTTGCTAAAAAATATGTGAGTAAGAGGAGAATTACGATCTTCTCATTCATAATTATATTTATAGCAATCAGTGATAGTATAGATAAACAAGCAATCAAATTACAGGGACAGACAGACTACCTTTTTTCCAGAAATAAAAAGACACAAGGTTCTCAACACAGAAAGAAAACGGACAAATAAATAGACAAACGGACAGACAGACAAATAGAGACAGAAAGACGGATAGAGAAATAGACAGACAGGCGGATAGACAGACAGACAGCTACACAGATGGAGATTGAGTGTTTCACTGAAAAATATGAAAAATATGAGCAGAAAAGAATAATTATATAAATATTTCTATATTTAAGGAAAGATAAATGTTTGTTAGTATGGCCAGGCACCCAGACCCTGCTTAGTGCTCATACTTCTACCCACTCCTAGTCCTCATCATTTATCTTAAATATTACATCCTACTCTTCTCCATCCTACTCTTCTCCATCCTACTCTCCTGTACCCTACTCTCCTGTATCCTACTCTCCTTCCTACTCTCCTCCACCCTACTCTCCTGTATCCTACTTTCCTCCACCCTACTCTCCTCTATCCTACTCTCCTCCACCCTACTCTCCTCTATCCTACTCTCCTCTATCCTACTCTCCTCTATCCTACTCTCCTGTATCCTACTCTCCTGTATCCTACTCTCCTCTATCCTTCTATCCTCTATCCTACTCTCCTCCATCCTACTCTCCTCTATCCTACTTTCCTCTATTTTACTCTCCTCTATCTTACTCTCCTCCATCCTACTCTCATTTATCCTGCTCTCCTCTATGTTACTATTTTCCATCCTACTCTCCTCTATCCTACTCTTCTCTATCCTACTCCTAGTCCTAGTCCTCATCATTTATCTTATATATTTCATCTTACTCTTCTATATCCTACTCTCCTCCGCCCTACTTGCATCTATCCTACTTTCCTCTATCCTACTCTCCTCTATCCTACTCTCCTCTATTCTACTCTCCTCTATCCTACTCTTCTCTATTCTACTCTCTCCATCCTGCTCTCCTCTATTCTACTCACCTCTATCCTACTCTCCTGTATCCTACTCTCCTCTATCCTACTCTCCTGTATCCTACTCTCCTCTATTCTACTCTCTCCATCCTACTCTCCTCCAATCTACTCTCCTCTATCCTACTCTCCTTTATCCTACTCTCAGTTATCCTACTCTACGTCATCCTTATCTCGCCATCCTTCTCTCCTCCACCCTACTCTCATCTATCCAACTCTACTTCATGCTACTCTCTCCGCCCTACTATCCTCCATCCTACTCTCCTCCGTCCTACATTTCTCCATCCTACTGTCCTCCAACCTACTCTCCTCCATCCTACTCTCCTCCATCCTAATCTCCTCCATCCTACTCTCCTCTGTCCTACTCTCCTCTATCCTACTCTCCTCTATCCTACTCTCCTTTACCCTACTCTCAGTTATCCTACACAACCTCATCCTTCTCTCTCCATCCTACTCTCCTCCATCTTACTCTCCTCTATCCTACTCTTCTCCACTCTACTCTCCTCTATCCTACTCTCCTCTATCCTACTCTCCTCTATCCTACTCTCCTGTATCCTACTCTCCTCTTTCCTACTCTCCTCCATCCAACTCTCCTCCATCCTACTCTCCTCCATCCTATTCTCAGTTATTCTACTCTCCTCCATCTTTATTTTTCTCACATATTTCATTTATTATGTTCGTCGTGTTCAGTACTTTTAAAACCTGAAATTAATCAATGTTCATTTACCAAATTTTATAATTTATATTCTGTAGTAAAACTATTTAAAAGAATTTATGCAAATTTTGAAAATATCCGTTTAACCGAACTTATTGAACTATTTGTCAATAAAGTAAAGAAAACATTTTTTTTCGTTAATTGTAAATATTGAATTGAATCTGAAATATCTAGGAAGAGCAAGGTGAATAGAGAAACTTTACTCCAGAATAAATAATACTATAAAAGTTTAAGATTTGATTTACATTTTAATTCTTTTGCCACAGCATAAGATCTCTCATGGTTCTCCAAATTGTCAAGAATCTCCAAGTTTACAAGATCATTTAGGGTTGCGACAATCTTTGGTATCTAGATTCTCCAGGATTTCTAGAATCTCCAAGATTTAAAGATTCTCCAGGATTTCAAGTTCCTCCATGGTGAGCGAAACTTTTAGAGCGGGAATTGGCTACCAATGAGACCTGATCTTTACAAAAGATATATCCAGCGGTTAAACCGACTAATTTAAGAAACAAAAGTTTGGCACTCAAGTTTTCAACAACACTGATTTTCAACTTCTTTATATTTTCAATTATAAAATTTTCTCCAGGTTTTTAAGCTTTTCTTTTTGTCTATGTAGAAGAGTTGGGTTGTGGAGTTGGAAAGATAATTAAAACTGCCGCAAGGTTTCTAAATAATCTCTCCGGAGCTAAACATTAATCTTGTAATTTCAATTCTCCACCTGGAGACATCTAAACTTGAATAGTTGCAAAGCATTAAACTCTCTGCGGTAACAGCCCTGGGTCATTCTGTTAAGAGTTAAAAAACTCATCACAGGACTCCGAGCAGTCCTGGAGTCGATATCAGAACTCAGAGCAAACCTGGAGTCGATGTAAAAACTCATAGCAAACCTGAAGTCGATATAATAATTCAGAGTAATCCTGGAGTCGACAATAGAAAATAAATGTAGTCTATTTATAACAAGACCAAGAGTTGATGTGGCGTCCACAACATGGTTCAGGGCAAGCCTGAGTCGACAACTGCAGGGTTTAGTCTAGAGTCGCCAGTAGTCTAAAATCTTTCTTCGTATCGACAGCAGAGCTCAGACCTAACCTTTATTCGACAATAGCAGTCAGAGCAAGCATGGATTCGTTAAGAGGACTGATAGCTAGCCCATGGTCGACAAGAGGTCCCAGAGCTAGCCTAGAGACGACAGGTTTCCGAACTATAATTAGGAAATGTAAATACCCAACCAATGCTGGTCTCTTGGGAACCTAAAAATGTCTGAGGAGAAAACAAACAGAAGGTTTGCTGACTGAGCAGGAATAAAATAAAAGAGAAGAAGATATGAAGATATGAGTCTAGGGAAGAGAAATTTAAAGTCTCCAGGTGCCCCAATATATTTATTATAAGCAGTACATCTGCCTGTATAACTCTTTCTAGTCCAGGTGTCTGAAATCTAGTTTCTTCCTCGGAATTTTTTTAATTAGATTAATCGATTTTTAGTTAAATTTTAAAATAAGGAGTTTCAAGGTTTGTATATGTTAGGATTGGAACGAATTAAAACTATTGAGGGTTTAATCAATTAGTTGTCAATGTCAAAATAAAACCGTTTTTCCATCTAGATCTGGAATGTTAAGATTTTATAGATATCAATTGATAGATAGATAGATAATTAGAGAAGTAGATTTTATTAAGTTTTAAGGCAAAGAAGGCATAAAGAAAACCCTAACCCTAGTTAGGCCTAAGTTGGGTGTGAAGCAGGAACATTTTAGATGATGATATAAATCGGTTTTAAAATTAAATTGAGTTTGTGTTAGATAGATAAATAGATAATTGCATACTGCATTTATAAATAATGCAATTTTTAAGCAAAGAAAAATAGGTTTAGGGATTAAGGCGTCATGATCGGACAAACAAACAAACATAGATTTCTTCTTTTTATATGTATGAATATATATATATATACATACATATATTAATGTTCTTCACGTTTTCTCTGCTCACAAACAAAAATATAGAAAATGATGTGAATTCAATTTACAATTTGTCGGGTGATAAATGCAATTATGGGATACTTTTAAGAAAAGACGGATTATAAAATAAATATTCTAGGATTGTGTTCCCATGAATGATTATATATTGGTGGACGGACCCAGAGTAGGACGCGTGGAGGAGGAGCTGAACCCTGATTACCAGGATTATCTCAACTCACTAGAGATAGTTCTCACGCGGATCCGTCCAGCAAACCTGGGATGAATCCCTGTGGTTAAACCCCTACCCTGAGCTGAATGTATACTCATGGATTACAGGACAGATGTATGTATATTAAATATAGAAACCGTCGACTGAGGGAAATGGTTTAAACAAAAACATAAACATTCTTGTCTTAAACTTTTCACATTACAGGACTGAGAAATAAATATTAATAAACAAAATAAAAGAGCATTATGAACATTGAACATACATGGACATAATTGGAAATAATTAAATGAAGAAAATGAAAAAATTTAAGATTTTAGACAATTGAACAAATGACAAATATTTTTGATTCGTAGACTGACGTCATGGACTGGGAATCCAGATAAATGTTCTAAGGATTAGCAAGTTTCAATATTTCGTAATCTTTTAAAATTAGAAAATTTCTTGGTAAATAGCCTGCTGTTTTATTGATAAAAGTACAAACTATTTCTTAATTCAGTTCTCAAGGAATACTTCTTCTTCTTTATGTCTATCAGAAGAAATAACACATTCATTAAAATTTTTAATGAAAATGTACAGTGAGATGTCAGAAACGCTAGAAAGCAAGTTAAAAAAAAACATACAAAGCATGTTCTAAAAACCCGCTCTTTTGCATTTTCTATTTAAAAAAAATTGAAATAAAAAATCATTATGATTATACTGCTTGCAGTATACTTTTTAAGCTTTATGTTATACTTCTTCTAAATACTTTATTCCTTCTCAACAGCATTTGTTCTAATCTTTACATTTTTGTCTTCATCCAGTACAGTGTACAGTACAGTACAATACAGTACAGTACAGTGTACAGTGTACAGTGTACAGTGTACAGTGTACAGTGTACAGTGTACAGTGTACAGTGTACAGTGTACAGTGTACAAAGTCTAAGGTTTGTCCAGACAAAAAGTCCTTTGGATAGGCCTACCCCCTAAAAGTCAAAAACATTAAAATATATTTAAAATTAAGTTTTGGGGAAATACACAATTCCGCACAAATAAAACTGATATTAATATATCCTTGTTCCAAAGATTTCTATAGTGTACACGTTCACAATAAAGTTGCATTGAAGCAAATCAAGCTGGTTTTAGCTGTATTGTTTACTACAAAGAAGTAGAAAGACGAGAAACTTTTATTTTGTGTGTTCTAGATTGTATTTGCTATCTTGTTTTCTGTATTCTGTATTCTTTATTCAGTGTTAAGTGTTCTGTATTCTGTATTCTTGTTTTCTGTAATCTGTATCCTGTATTCTGTATTCTGTAATTTTGTTATCTGTGTCATCAGGTATTCTTTATTTTTTTCTGTATTCTGTATTCTGTTTTCTGTATTCTGTATTCTGTATTCTGTTTTCTGTTTTTTGTTTTCTGTTTTCTGTTTTCTGTTTTCTGTTTTCTGTATTCCGTGTTATGTATTCTGTATTCTGTATTCTGTATTCTGTATATTGTATTCTGTATTATGTATTCTGTAATTTCCGTTATCTGTGTCATCATGTATTCTTTTTTTTCTGTATTCTGTATTCTTTATTCTGTATTTTAAGATGATAGTTGTTATGAAAGGTTACCTGACATAACTAATTATGATTCTAATTATAATATTATTTGGTTTGGAATCACTAGTATCTATATTCTCTATCTCTTTCTCTCTCTAGCTCTCTCTTATATATGAATCTATCCTGGGTTCTATAGATTGAATCTGAGGAACTTGATTAACTGAACCCTTCAACTCCTTCAGTCTGATTATTCACAAGTCTTACATCCTTCATTAATATATTCTCTGCAAAGTTTGATGCCCTTTTTGGTCTTACATTTTCCTTTCTTTACTCTAATTTTATCTCCATTTTCCTCGCCTTTTCTTTACAAAACGGTTTTAAATTTTGATTTAAATCAAGCTCTTAAATAGCATGGATACAAATAAATATAGAAGTCAAGAGAAGCTATCAATTAAAAAACTTCTCTTTGGTTTCTTGTAATCTTATAATTATAATCTCACATTATCTCACAAGAAGGGGATCATTCATTTGGCGTCCCGTTTTGCCGTCTCACAGTCTGTATGTTCACTGTTCAGTGTACATACCTGGTACACCGAGTTGGTACAGTATCTATATATAATTTTGGCTTGTCTGTTTGTCTGTTTGTTTGCATCCAATAAACGTCAAAACGGCTGAACCGATCGGGCCCAATTTTTTTTGTGGGACATCACGTTACCATAGGGAAGGTTCATGAATGATAAAAATTAAAAAATGTGTTTTAAAGGTTTTTAATTTTGTAAAAAAAATTTAAATTCTTGAAAATNCTCCGACTATTCCAATGTGTATTATACTATCTCAATGATTACTCGTATTATCCCAAGGCTTACTCGTCCTATCCCAATGCGTACTCCGACTACCCCAATGCGTACTCCGACTATCCCAATGCGTACTCTGGCTATCCCAATGCGTACTCCGACTATTTCCATGCGTACTCCGGCTATCCCAATACGTACTCCGACTATCCCAATGCGTACTCCGACTATCCCAATGCGTACTCTGGCTATCCCAATGCGTACTCCGACTATTTCAATGCGTACTCCGGCTATCCCAATGCGTACTCCGACTATCCCAATGCGTACTCATACTATTTCAATGCGTACTCACACGATCACAGTGCATACTTATACTATCCCATTGATTAATTGTAGTCTCCCAATGCGTACTCCGACTATCCCAATGCGTACTCACACTATCCCAATGCGTACTCACACTATTCCAATGCGTACTCACACTATCACAATGCGTACTCACACTATCCCAATGCGTACTCACACTATCACAATGCGTACTCACACTATCCCAATGATTGCTCGTATTATTCCAATGCGTACTCCGACTATCCCAATGTGTATTATACTATCTCAATGATTACTCGTATTATCCCAAGGCTTACTCGTCCTATCCCAATGCGTACTAAGACAATCCCAATGCGCACTGAGACTATCCCAATGCGTACTGAGGCTTTCCCAATTCGTACTAAAAATATCCCAATGTGTACTAAGAGTATCCCAATGCGACTATCTTAATGAGTACTCGTCCTACACCAGTTTACTCTCTGCCAGCCTATATTTACTCAGTTTTCCAGCAGTCTCCCTCGTGAGTTTACTCAATGTAATGATTTATTATTTTGTTTGCAAAACTCTAATCCTAGATATTCTGATCCTGTATATTCTAATCCCGTTCTATTGCGGGATTAGTCTCCTCCGTGCAGGGTTAAATATTTTCTACTCATAACTCTTCCTTTATCCTTTAACCTCTCACCTTGGAAATAACTAAACCCAGCTTTTGAGTTTCTAACCCAGAGAAATCAGATAGATTCTGCAGGGTTGGGAACATTTTTTTCCTTCATTCAATCCCATTTAATATTTTGCTTTACTTTCACTAATCTCATCGATTCACTCTCTACTTTACTATCCTAACCTATAAATCCTTAACTCTCACTAAAATATTCAATCCTATTCTCTCACTACTATATTCAATCCTACCTCTCTTACTACTATACTCAATCCTAACCTCTCACTACTATATTCAATCCTACCCTCTTACTACTATACTCAATCCTAACCTCTCACTACTATACTCAATCCTACCCTCTCACTACTATACTCAATCCTACCCTCTCACTACTATACTCAATCCTAACCTCTCACAACTATACTCAATCCTAACCTCTCACTACTATACTCAATCCTACCCTCTCACTACTATACTCAATCCTAACCTCTCACTACTATACTCAATCCTATCCTCTCACTACTATACTCAATCCTACCCTCTCACTACTATACTCAATCCT